AGACACTGGTTTACACTGTTGTAAAAACGTAAGGCAAGGATACACGGCCATCTTCCTCGGAAGCAAATAGGAATAAGAAAAATAACTGACTCACGATCTTACATCGTCTGCATTACCAACTGGTTATTCTATTAACGAGAAGGGGTAAATGATATCAATGAGATTTCACGTCTGAAAAAGCAACTTATTACTTTTTTCTCGCAGAATCGCAGGTATTAAACCATTTCGTTTTTACCCCTATCCGCTATAAATATTAAATAATTGCTTCTTGTAACTTGTACGAAGCGTTGTTAATTCCTTCGTCTCTTTTTATATCATATTATTGCCGCGAAGAATTATGGTTAATCAGAATTTTTACGTTCGCATTGTCGTAAACGATCTAATTGGACTCAGCTGTGGAAATGGAAATACGACAAGAAACGATTGTGTACTGTATAGTATGTCGTATGAAAACATCTTTTCTTTAGTAGGAGCATCGATACTTTCTCAGAATAAATATCAAAATTGTAATTCTGTTATTACACGTAAACCATGTATTTAACAATAGAACTATGAAAAAGATGGTAATATATTACTCTATGCGTAAAAACACGTAGAAATGATCAAATTGTATGAACAAAATAACATTGCCAAATTAAAAATTACAAATTAATACGATGACTTGGTCGAGGATTATAATAGTTCGAATTAAAGGAATTCGTAATATTAAAGTTGCTGAAATTACATGTCATCCATGATACATCGTAGAGACGAAAGAAACTGGACGAAAAATTCGGCTCCTATATAAAATAAAGTGTCTGAACACTCGCTTTTTTAAATAATCGTAAAATAAATATTTCCCAATAAATAATTCTTCGATATTTAATATAACTGTTAAATCTGAAGCAATTGAATTTACCATTAGAATTTGCTAAATCATGTTGCCAAATCATTTCAACAGTTATTGAAAATCTGTAACTGCTTTTGTCAAAACTGATATTAACTTTGATTATTTACAATAGGCAAAAAAGGTATTTTTTACTATATCAGAAGGAAATTCACCTAATCGGTAGATTTCGATTTGAAGTTTTCTACGAGCATGTATATCGTAACAAATTATACTGCTTTGTATAATTTGCTTTGTAATAGTGCAAAATACAGCAAAACTCTATAAACCAAAAATGTTTCATTTTTAATGCTCTATTACTTTATTGTGAAAAATATTTCGGAAAGAGAATACCACCAGAGCGTGAAACAATATTTAAACTTGAAATTAAACCTACGAGAAAAGGTCCATTTTGCTCTGGTGAAAAGGTTTCCCGCCCATAAAGAATGATTCCACGTAGACCTCATTCTGTTCTACATTTACACAAATTTCCATTAAAATCAAAATTTTCTGGTTAGATGAATTTCCTTGTAATATAGCGTGCTAATGCTTTCTTTACCCACAGTATACAGACAGAAATGTAATTACACGTTCTTGATTATCATCGTTATATCGCTTTAATTAATATTATCCGCATATACTGTATATCTAGGTTCGCATTACAGTTCGGTAATCCTAGCATTAATGAACCTTTGTTAAGTATCAAGCTATCTACTTCGTCCTTAGTAACTGGTGAAATCGAATCACGACAAAAATTGAATTTCAAAAGGGAAACGATGCTTTGGATAACGCTAAACCTACCGCGAGCAATGAAATTGACGAAAAGGGGAAAGAAGAGGAATATTAAAAAAGAATCGAATAATAGGAAATATCGAAGAATCGATCATACGTGCACTAAATAGTATAAATAAAGACAATTTGCGTAGTCGAATCACCGAAACGCTTGCATCGAATGCGGAATTTGAAACGAAAAGTTTAAAAATACTCATTCAGGTCGCGGTATGTTTAGCGTTAATTAAAAAGTGGTATCGTGGTTAACGAGTAAGCGATTTTCCCCGTGATTCGCGAGGCTGATTCGAGACCTTTCTCGTCCAAGGTCGTAGATCGCAGCGGTCACGCTATAGGTATTCTTTCCGTCTCTTCTCCCCCACTCCTCGCTGAGCTGGCCGCGGCTGTCGGAGCAGCGGGGCGGGAAGTAGGGAGTCAATACACTTGCGGAGCCGAGGAGTGGGGGCAAGGACCGGGTGGGGGAAGGCGGCGTGACCCCTGAACGACGTTCATCGATCGGGGTGCACGCACTCTACCTCCGGCACCGCGCTCTTCTATCTCGACACTTCCCCTACTCTGTCTTCTCTTCTCCATTTCCGATTCACAATTTCCCATTGTTGCGCCTCCTTACAATCTTTCACGTTCGAGATTTTTCTTCCTCTCTTGATCTCCTTATGCTTGCAGAAGAAATTAAACGTTCGAGGAATATAAATTAGTTCGGAGAATACCTGAATAATCGTTCCTCGATTTTAACTGGCCAGTCGTTTCAGTCGATTCCACCTTTAACCACCCCGGCCGAAGAAATCGATTTTATATTCGTAAACTGCTGCGTTTGAAGTCGTTAATCGCCAGTTTGATTCGGTTAAGAGTACTAATATTGCAGTTCTACACGTACGAACGGGCACAGGACGTAGTGGTAATAAGGTTGAATTATTCGAGGGTAAAGCAGTCGTCCTACTTAAATGGATTTGCTCAAAAGAATTGCGGAAATTGAATTATCATTATTATGCTGATTTGATGAATAATCTCAGTGACTTAATTCGAATATAAAATTTGTTATATCTAATATCAATATAACGCGTGATTATATCGATGTATTAATATTTAAATATATATTACGCGCTATCGATCACTATGCGTCGCACATTATGCATAATATGCGTACATAGATATTTACGTACCTAAGAGAAATTAATACATGTATGTACATCTCAAGATTTACATATAATTATATATCGTATAAATTTTTATAAATCAATAATTGCCTGTATAATAATAATATATCACATCTACTATATTATACATTGTATATACTGTACATTTATTGTGTTATACGTATATGTGCTGGTACATATGCTGATATACATACTGCATATTATAAAAGTATGCATATACATATGCATACTCGTATATACATACATGTACGCTATATTTTATGCTTATGCATAGGTTGTAAGTATTTTATTTCGTATATATCGCATAAACAAGCACACTGTACACGAATAAAGTCGTACATTAGGCTTCTATATTTAGATAGCATAAAAATGCATCGATACTGAGCCGATACTGTAGATGATTTATTGAGATATTCTTGCTCGATCAGCTCCAATTAAAAGCCAAGTATCAATGTTCCGTTGTTCCCGAAATACTCTTCTTTTGATATTCGCCATGTTTAATGTAGCTTTCCAGCGACCTCGAGTGCTTCCCTTAGGAGCATTCACCTTTTATCTTGGGACTCGATCGAAATTCCTACACGAAGGTACCGCGTACCAGAGAAAAGAGTAGCTAGCTCGACTTCAGAAGCGTTTCCTGGAGCGGCGAGACGCTCTTTGTTCCATTCATTCGGTTATTCGCATTTTACCTTATTCCCGCCTTCTGCTTTTGCTCTTCCACCCACCTCGCCTTTCTCTGCTCCGCGTTCACAGTCGGCGTTCGTTTCTCTTCTACTCGTTCCCTCTTCTATATCCTTCTGCGTCTACGTTCCACCGTGGAAAAGCGAATGCGTCCTCGCGTGGAACATCGTAAACTCACTCGCGCCAACTAGAAGAGATACGATAACCTTCGCATTCATGACCTTGGACTCGCAGGCTACCGACCCCTTTTCTTTCTTCTCTGTCCGCTGCCTTTCCCTTTTGCTCTTCTTCCTCTATCTGTCCATCTACCTACGAGCGCTCAGGTAAAACAGGACCATCCAGTCGGCCGATTTAATTAGAGGGACGACATTTTTTCCTCGTGAATCGCTTACGAGTCACCGAGAAGAAAAATCGAAAGAAATGGGAAAGAGACGAGAGAAAGAGAGAGAGAATGTGTGTGTGTTCGTGTGACGGGTTTGCGTCGGTGTAGACTCGCGATGACGGTCCAAAGACGTGACAAAAACAGCTTCCGGCATGTACCATCGTGGGCGAAACGAAACGAATGACACACGGTCGCGCTGCTGACCAAATTGCTTTTACGTCGACGTTTCGATCATAGCTCGTGTCGAACAATTACCGGGATCGTTGCGGTAAACGTTTCGTGTGCAAACTAATTTTTGACTAGAAACTTCGATGGTACCGTTACACGTTGTAGATCGCCGTCTCGAGTCTCTCGTGTTTCCGTGTTGCCATATTTTTGCAGCTGCAGATGTTTTACGAGACTTGGTCGGTGTTAAATTGCGCTTGCATTTTGAAGAATTTCGTTCGGACGGTAGATAAGAAAAATCCTTCGCTCCAACTAGTCGAGCAGCGTCTTTTCCCTCCTCGTTTCTTCGGCCATTACGAAGCGCTGAAAAAATTTTGGAGAATTTAGTTTCTCATACCACCAACGGCTTGTTTTCGCCAGAGTCGTTAGATGAAGATTCGAACGCGCACGAATGGTACATGGGAATCCTTTTTTCAATTTTTTTCTCGAAACCGATTTTTTTCTCGAGATTGTACCGTGGTGCATGCTAGGATTTCCGATGAGCAGGCCTCTGAAATGGGATGTTAATTTTCCGTATTCGAATGCTATAGTTCGTGAAATTTCAATGTCGCGGGTACTCGAGAGCTCGCGCATATATTATCGCATAAAATTTTATAGTACTCGCGATATAGTGATCGAGCATTTACCTATTTATCGATCTTATATACCTCGATATTCGTTACGTGTCCTATCAATCGGTTATACCGAACGGTAGCAGATTCGAAACTACGAGAAAGAAAACGAAACACGCATATACACGCATATATGTATACATGTACACGTAGACGGACACACAGGGACGTATAAAGGTGACAGAGACGGAAAATGCTTGTTCCCTATGGAACAAATCGTTGAATCTATAATGATAAGTAAAGGAACGCGCAATAGAGGGCAATCTCTGAAAAGAGGCATTGATTTTTGTTAACAGGGATGCCGGTTGACTGAAGATGGCCTCGCCGACACTCTCAGTGGAATCGCGCGCGAATTCCATCGGATCCCTGGTCTCGCTGTCCCCGCTTACAGTGAGCGGCAGTTCTCCGCCTGCGAGCGACTCGGCGATCTGCGACGTCGACAGCTGCGACCTCTGCCTCGACTCGCAAAAACCTGGAGAGGCACCCTGCCCGCGGTGCCGATTAGGAGGCGCCGGTGGAGTTCGTTGTACCGGTTGCAAATCCAACGAATCCGACGCTGTAGCTCGTTGCTTCGACTGTGTGAATTTCCTCTGCCCTAACTGCGTCATGGCGCACCAATTTATGCACTGCTTCGAGGGCCATCGGGTCCTCAACTTGGGCGATTCGAAAATCGAAACGGTTACCACCAGCTCTGCCAACACCGAGAACCCTAAGAGCAATCTGGTGATCAACAGCGGAAACAGCAACGGCGAGAAAGTACCTTACTGTCCACGGCACAAACAGGAGCTGCTGAAATATTTTTGTCGCACTTGTACCGCGCTAGTGTGCAAAGAGTGCGCGATAGCCGATCATCCTGGCCCGTTACACGATTACGCGCACATCTCCGAGGTAGGAACGCAACAGCTCGAAGCGATGGCAAGAGTGGTTCAAGAGTGTAGAGCGAAAGCTGCGAACGTGAGGGCTGCCGTGAAGGCAGCCGACCACGGTGCAATACGATTACAAGTGCAGTACCACAAAGCGCAAAACGAGATCAACGACACTTTCCAATTCTACCGATCTATGCTCGAGGAGCGAAAGCAAGAACTGCTGAAAGAGTTGGAATCGGTGTTTTCCACGAAACAAATATCTCTGGGCGTTCTCACGCAGAAAGCCAACGAGATGGCCGACAAGATGCTTCAGACCTGCGAATTCGTCGAACGGCTAACTAAATACACCACCGTCAGCGAGGTGCTGATGGTGAAGAAGCTTCTCGACACGAAGCTCCAAGTGCTGCTAAATTACACTCCGGATATTGCCAGTCAAACCGTGGACCTCGAGTTCGTGAGCAATTATCAGGCGATTCAAGTGGGCGTACGAAATACGTTTGGTTACGTGAGAAGCAACAACGAAAGCAACGCTGGTCCAATCGGGAAACAACCACCGATAGCTCGACCAACGGCATTGTCGAGTAACGGTAACGGTGGTAACAACGTGAACACTGGACCCGGTAACGCTGGATCTTTGGGAGGTTTACTCTTGGATAGACCTTACAGCAACGGCCTGATATCTGCCACTTCTACCAGCGCCTCGTCCACGTCGCAGTCGTCGTTCGACAGCAACAGTACCGTCATTACCAAGCGTTTCAGTTCGGCCAACAGCCTAGGCCCGTTCTCAACGACCATCAGCGATCTGAACTTGAACGCGATAAACGCGAACCCTTACGAGAAATGGAGCAACGGAGGTAGCGACGCATACCCAGTGGTGACCAATAACGACCACTTCCCGATGCCAACGTCCGTCGCTGTCGCAGCGAATGCCGCGTCCAGTGACTCCGTTCTTGACCTAACCTCGAAACTCATGTCAGCCGCGGTGATATTCCCCGGAAAGTCACAGATCAAGCGGCAAAAGATGATCTATCACTGCAAGTTCGGCGAGTTCGGTGTAATGGAAGGTCAATTCACCGAGCCTTCGGGTGTAGCTGTGAACGTGCAAAACGACATTATCGTCGCCGACACGAACAATCATCGGATTCAGATATTCGACAAGGAGGGCAGATTTAAGTTCCAGTTCGGAGAGTGCGGCAAACGAGACGGCCAGTTGCTTTATCCGAACCGGGTGGCCATAGTGAAAACCTCGGGCGACATAATCGTTACCGAACGTTCGCCCACTCATCAGATACAGATATACAACCAGTATGGTCAGTTCGTACGTAAATTTGGAGCAAACATCTTGCAGCATCCGCGCGGTGTAACGGTCGACTCGAAGGGTCGCATAGTCGTCATCGAGTGCAAAGTGATGCGCGTGATAATTTTCGACCAAGCCGGCATCGTCCTTCAGAAATTCGGATGCTCGAAGCATCTCGAGTTTCCTAACGGAGTAGTCGTGAACGACAAGCAGGAGATCTTCATCAGCGACAATCGCGCCCATTGCGTGAAGGTGTTCAACTACGAGGGCACCTATCTCCGTCAGATCGGCGGAGAGGGGATCACGAACTACCCGATCGGGGTAGGGATCAACGCCGTAGGCGAGATACTGATAGCAGACAATCACAATAACTTCAATCTGACGATCTTCACGCAAGACGGTCAACTGGTTTCGGCTCTCGAGAGCAAGGTCAAGCATGCCCAGTGCTTCGATGTTGCTTTAATGGACGACGGATCAGTCGTGCTGGCTAGCAAGGACTATCGACTCTACATTTATCGTTACGTACAAGTACCGCCGATCGGCATGTAGAGCAGCGACAAATCACGACGCCGACAACGATCGTCTGTCGTCGTTTTCATCGTTGTCGTAGTCATTTTTATCGCCATTGTTTCGACGGCCGCGAAGCCAGGATCTCATCGATCTTTTTTTACTTACACTTGCCTATCTTCTTCTTCACCACCCACCTACCATCACCGCTCGTGCTCACTTTACCTATCCATCTTCGCCCGCTCGACCCACCTCACTTCCGTTTACGACGAAACGCCGATTACGAGACAAAACAAAATGCAAGCGTACGCGAGCGAAAATGCGTTGATTCGGCAGTTGTCGAAATTCAAGATGACAGGCCTTATTTATACGAACACGTGCGCGTACGTGCGTGCCATGAAAAACTGCACGCGATCTAGACGAAACGGGTTGCTTCCGTAAGTAGAAACGCCGTCGAGATCGTCCAAGAACTCGTTTCCGCCTGCCGTTACTCTCCTACCTTCTTGCGCGCGCGTGCGCCACGTGCGCCGCGTGTCGCTTTCGGGGACTAACGTTAAAGCGCGCCACATTACGTCTTTCACGCGGGCACGCGTGCATCCGATGGATTCTCCAGTCAACGAGGAATGAAAACGAAAAGAAAACGAGAAGGCAATGAAAAAAAGGGAACGAAAGAGCGAGAATACGACGGTGAATTCGCTCGACGGTAGATGGCGCTCGCGTGGCCCGCGCATGCGCACCTCGCGCCAAGGCGCGTACGCGCACGCGTATCAGGTTCTCGTACGAAAAAGGAAAACGCAGGCGAGTTCGGAACGCCCATTTTGTTGCGTGCGTAACGTATACGCGCACGCGTGAAAAACGGAAAGTCACACGAGACGTGTAAGCGCATACACGCGGAGAACTTACTTGTTAATGTTGTTATAACTGAAAATACTGTTGTTGTTGTTTAGTTGTAGAGCTCGCCGCCGCTAGTCACTCCATCCTCACCCTCCTCCCAGCCTCTCCTGTTCCCTTCATATTTCTCTCAACCCTCCTCACCCCGACTCCCCTCCATTCGTTCTCTCTATTCCTCCTCGTCTGTTACATCTCCTCCTCACCCCGTAAAAATTTACCCACGTTTACCACTTCTTTTTCCGTTCTCCTCTTCGTCAACTTCTCGATCGAAAACCGCGAGGAGCGTTTTTCCAACACACCTCGGATGTATCACGTTTCTGCACGTAGCTTTTCTGGGTCGTGCAAACGAACGTGTACCCGTCCGGTTCTGACACGGTTCTTTTAACTGTCGATTCTTCCGATTCAGTTTGGGACTTAATCTCGGCTTAATCGTGCTCAACGAACGCCGTCGTTGAGTTTCGTTCGTTTATACTCTGACCCAAAGCAGCGAAAGAATTTTGGCCATCGACGTCGCCGGTTCGCAGAGAATCCATGTTTGCGAGAGCTTGCTTCGTCGCTCTCTCTTCCTCTCACGTGCGTACGTAATTTTTCCAACAACGCGGAGTACTCGATCGATATCTCTGTACCATTGCATTGCCTTGGATCGCACGCGGATCGAAGGACGATGATAATTTTCACGGTATCGATCATCGTCGCTGTCAAACGTGTCCGATCATTGAGCTTTCGCTTCCCGAAAGATCATTCCAGAGTATTCTTTCTCTGGACGGACAACGCTGCATCGACGTTTCTTTTTCCGTGCTCTTCCTTCTCCTTATGTATCGTTTTCTTTTTTTAAGGTGGTCAAGCAAATCTTTATATATATATGTATATATATATATATATACATATATATGTACATATATACATATTTATATGAACGTATTTCTTTTTCCTGTTTGTTTTCTCTCTTTTTCTCTTCTCTTTTCCCTTACGAATCAACGACAACTCGAACGGAGGTTCGCTTTAAGATACGTTTAAAATATGACAGTGACGACAGTCCAACACCCGAGTCTTGTTCGCTCACCCGATTCTTCTTATCTCCTTTTCGTTAGTCGTTTCTTCCTCTACTTTACTTCTCGTTTTCTTTTTCCTATTTCTTCTATGCATCTTTGTCCCGTACATATACTCGATATCGTTTCCTCCTTCGAAAGTACGCGGTTAGGAGACGCGCGTAATTACGTATCTTACTTCTTGTACGATTTATGTTTCATTTCTTTGACGATCGGCAGCTAGGAAGCTGTCCGCAGAGAAGGAAGATGAGAGATCACGAAGAGTGTACGCGAAAGAAGGCTGGGGACGTTCTCCCGTTCGTCAGTCGGTCTTTTACGTAACCAAAATAATCGCGATCCGCCACGACAATGGCGGGAAAAGATTGCGAGACTCGCGCGCCATCTTCTCGTCTTCCTTGACCGATCTTCGAGGAGACTTTCCGAGGATGTTCGATCGGTGTCTTATTGGCCGTGAATCGACGTACTCCCTGTGCAAGTATTCGGTACGTTAACGAAATGTTACGATGTTTCGAGGAAAAAATTGAGGGGCTCGCAGAGAAATTCGTTTCTCGATCGCTCGAACATTTGTTTTCATTTCTCTGGTCTGACCTTTGAACGTAGTGGTGTTACCGTAGTGAGTAGCATTAGCGAATTGTAGTGAAATGATGTATCGAATTATTTTTCCTCCTCTTCTTCCGTTCTTTTTCTACGCCATCATTTTCGTTGACGCTCTTTATTTTCTTCTCTCGCTCTGTCTCTGTCTCTCTCTCTCTCTCTCTCTTTCTTTCTCTCTTTCTCTCGTAACGTTGTAATTGTACTAGAACCAGCTCCATCCTATTATAAGCGCACCTGTACGAATATCATCGCGATTGTAAACAACCATCATCACCATCGTGACCACCACTACTGTCGATTACTTTCTTGTTTCAAATATGTTGGTTCTTTCTTCAGTATGACCAGTAAAAAAAAAGAAAAACACGTTGCGCTAGTAGCTTTTCTAATTTTGAATGTATAGTATTAATATATTTTTGTTGGATGAGTCGATGATGATAGAAGTCTTATGCGAGGCTCTACACGCGACTTCATGCATGTTTACTATTAAAATATTATTTTTTATTATTATTATTATTATTATTATTATTATTATTATTAATGTATGTATGTATGTATGTTTGTATGTATGTACGTATTATTATTACTATTATTATTATTATTATTATTATTAATATTATTATTATTATTATTGTATTATTTTTTATGTTTATCTATTCATTATTTAAGTGCCTCGTTGCCAGAGGCCGTAAGAGCGTTACAATTCTTAAAGCATATCTTTGGTAATGAAATACCTAACGATTTTCTTTTCACAACGTATCGTTCGATATGTAACGAGGCTAGCTGGCGTTCCTCGGTGTCGAAAAGTACAAAACCATGAATTACGAGGATCTTCCGTAGCGTCGTGAAGTAATTTTCCCATTTGTCAAGAAATTACTCGGACAAGTCCCTCTAGATCGCCCGGAAGTTGTGGAAAGTCGCGAAGCCGGTCCATAATTTTTGGGACATCTACGCCGTTGATAGCTTTCGACGTTTGAATCGAAACGTTGTTGAACCGATAGGTCGCATCTGCAGTTTTGCGAAATCGTTGTTATACTTTCTCGACTTTCCCATTTTTTCTAATCCTTTTAACGATGATTGATTTTTTCTGATAGTTTTAAACACGCATCTTTCGCAGAACGGAATTTTCCGAATGCGTGAAATTTCGAGACGTTCGGACGAGTAGTAGGCTTCGAGTAGCGGAAATATATCGCGAACGTTGAACGAGTTGGGATTTTAGAGAGAAAAAAGAATATTCCTTTTCGAAAAGCCAGTTTATAGGTTTTAATTTCGATCGTTGGATGGTACTTAGTCAATGAGCATACCATGATTCGTGTCCTGATCCATCGATTTTGTTTAGGTAATTCTCCCTTGACGTTGACTTTAAAAATGCTCGTATTCTCTGCAACGAAAGGTATACACAGAGCATACAATTGGGAAATAAGTCGTAAGATTAAAATACTAACAAGTTGTTAATAATATTTTGTGCTGTGAAATACGTTGTGTCCTTACGAACAGTTTAAATTCCTAAAATTGTCTTCGTAGGTTATGTATAGCGAAATCGTATTTAGGAAATACTCAGCGAGAGAAGAAAGAAAAGTGGTATAAAATTGATCGAAGATCCTCGATAATTCGTCGTCACTGTATCACTCGCTATCCGACTCGAGGTTCTTGTTCATTTCCAACATCTCAACGCCAGGCATGCACTCGGTTATCAGCAACGAACGTTCTTCTGCCGGAGATCGTGCATTTCGCCGATTTGCCTCCCTCTTTCGTACGAGGCAGTGCAACTGATCGTTCGTTGCGTTCGCTGAGCTTCGAATCGACGGGACGAGATGGCGCTGATCGATCGCTCTTGTTGCGTCGTGTCTTACGCGAGGGTAACGAAAAGTATCGTTTCATCGTTTCATCGGTCGATAGGCTTGCACGATTACGATCGAACTCTGGTAACGGATCGACCATCGTCGTACGTATTTGCAGTATTCTAGCCGGTTTTCAAGCGACGATAAATGCTAGACGAAGGAATAGGAACGAGAGCACGCGAAATTAGGACGGAGATGATTAAAGGGAATCGAGGAAAGGGATATAATCTCTCGAGGTACACGCGTACGTGGCAATTGTTATATACGTTATTCCATTAGATATCTTGCTGCCAAGAATTATCGAGATTTCTTTTTTATTCGGTTCTTTTGATCCAGAATTACGTTCTTCTAATTTTTATCACCGTGTGCACGTATACATTCACACGCATACTCGCAGACTGTATTTTTTCCCTTCTTCCCTTCTTCTTTCGATGAAAACGACATTCGAAGTAACGTGTCTCCTCCGTGGAAGATGAAGTATATAGAATTTATTCCATTAAGATCTGCATCACAACGTATCTGTCCATTAGTATTTAAATCGCGTATTCCTGTGTTGATTCGTAATTATTAATATTATTACTCGTATTATTATTTTTTTATTTTATTATTATTATTATTATTATTATTATTATTATTATTATTATTGCTATTATTATT